AACTGAACTAGTTCATTTTAAAATGTGTGAACTGAACTTTGAACTAGTTCACGTAGAAAGAGAACTAGTTCCCAACACTGCCCATATGCAGCAAACTGCTGCGCTTGCCTGAGCTACAGGCTTATTCTAGGCTGCTTCATGACCTCCATGTCATCTTCTTTTGGCCACTGTGTTGATTTTAAAGGCGTAACCCTTTCTCCTCGTGCACGCTCTGTTTAAAAGTAGAGCAACATGTGTCAACCTTCTAATTTCACTTCATTCATCATTTTGTTTGGGATCAGTCAACATAAAAAAACTGGTTTCAGTCAAACATGATCTCACCTGTAAAGGATCTGGATTCAAGCTGCGGTTACAGTCCAGTCTGAGGCTGAAGAACCGGTTACACATCCGCACCATGTTGTAGGACATCTGAAAAAGGTTAGAAATGTCTAATAATTAGTCTGCAGCATAAAGCATCGGCTGACCTTAATGTTATATAAGCTGTTCGGTTTGCAAATGAGGAACTTATTCAACACTACTTTGAGGCTAAGGTGACAGTGCAGCTTTCATTTATTTTTTTAGTCCATCATTGCGGTAAACACCAGTTTTAAAACCCAAACAGGCCTAATGAAGCTGTTACTTAGAAAGAGGTTTTCTGCAGTTCTTTCCAACATGTCAGCTGCTATAAAAGGTAAAGCTGTTCAACGGTTTTCCAGAAAAGTTAAAAAAAAATAATCCACTGGACTTTGTTTCCAAGTTTGAAGACATTTCTCTTCCATCCAGCAAGATTTTTCAATTAAAAAAGTCAGAAATAGTGTTTAGTTCCAGGTTTTATCCAGCAGCCCAACAAAGCCTTGTTTTGGTTTAGAAAACATGCAAATAGAAACGGATGAACAGGTCCCCCCCTTTGGAGTTGGCTGAAATCAGAGTCCTCCGCCTCTGTTTAAGGTCATTTTTTCTTTCTTCACATAGATGGCTTCCTTCACCTCTCAAACCACCTATTTTATTTGTCCTAAATGTGTTCAAAGGTTTCCATCATATCTGCCAAACCCTAAACTATCTGAAACTTGACCGCAGCATCGATCCGCACTGTGGGGAAATTCAAAATGGCTGCTTCCCTTCTGGGTCGTCCAGGGAGGAGGAGGGGATGCCTTAAATACGGTAACAGGAAAACCTTTCCTAAATGTACTTTACTTTAGAAACAGTGAAAGGAGAAGCACACTGCAAAAAATGTAAATTAAATCAGTCTCTCTTAAAATAAGTGAAGTTTTCTTGAATTGAGGACGTAAGTCTCTTGGCCAATTGAACAAGACAATTTACATTTAAAATAAAAAATATATATATATATTATTTTAAGTGTATAATATCTAATTATCTTATTTCAAGGGTAAAAATGCTTATTGCATAGACAAATCCTCTTATTTTTCTACTCAAATTAAGGGTAAAGGTACTTAATTCAAGAGATTTTTACCAATTTTCCGAATGTTTTT